TTTTTTTTTTTTTTTGGTGATGTGAAGGTATTTGACCTGTTTGACACAAAGCACAATGGAATACTGGACTTTGAAGAGTTTGCACGTGCCCTCTCGGTCTTTCACCCACATGCCCCAATTGACGAAAAGATTGATTGTGAGTATGATCTTGTGATATTGATGCTAGTTTCATCTGGGTATCAAGTTAATCGATTTGAAATTTGATTAGGGCCAACGAGATTTTTTTTTTTTTAATTTATAAACCAGAGTTAATTTTGAGAAAAAAAAGTGGTATGATTAGTTGTTAGTGAGATTTTGAGTTTATACTAACATAATATTTAAAATAAAATAATCAAAGTTTATTTGATGTAAAAGTAGGAGAGATATGATGTGAAACGATTGTTAGTTTAAATTATTTGAGTGAATTTATAATGAACAATTGATGTGATGTGTAAGAATGAATGATTGATATTATTTAATTATATATTATCGAGGATAGTGGGTTGAGTTAAAGTTGAGTTAGATTTTGAGTATGAATTGAGTATGGATTGAGATAATTTATAAACAAACACATCCTTAGGAATGGATTTTGAAGTATTCCATCTTCCGTTTGTTAAATGTTTATAACATTATGTTTATAACATTGCGCTGTTACAGTTTCATTCCAATTATATGATCTCAAGCAGCAAGGGTTCATTGAAAGACAAGAGGTAAGTTTGTTTTTTCTTCGGGGATCCTCAAGTTTACACAAGATCAAATTTTTGATTGGAGGATCATCACGAATATATTTTTTTAATACATATCTGTTTTTTCTCTTTATTTATCTCAAAATGAGACTTCGAGTGTCTGGTTAGCAGTACTTATTATAATTAATTGGTATTCTGCAGGTAAAGCAAATGGTGGTGGCAACACTAGCTGAATCTGGCATGAACCTTTCAGATGATGTTATCGAGAGTATCATTGATAAGGTTAGGTTTCTCGTCCTGATCGTCTTTTATGCAGGTTTTTTAGTTTATATTTACCTGCATAAATTTAATAAGCAATATTTATATGTTTTATGTAGTTAAATTGAGTTGATTATATTTTTCTTGAGTTGTAAACAGATTTCATTTATAGGGTGTTTGGATGATCGATCCCTTTTTCTTTCTCTAAAGATCTTCAACCTTTAAAATGTTTTTAGAAGCTTATGACAGCATATGGTTAATCATAAGATAAAAATTGACTTCTCAATTATTTTGAAAAAACAAAAAAGGATAGACAAATGATGGAGCCCGTCAGAAACAAAATCTTGTTCCAAAAAAAAGTTGGGTTCTCTTAAATTTTCCTAAAACCAAATTATATGGTTTTCAGACGTTCGAGGAAGCTGACACTAAGCACGACGGGAAGATTGATAAAGAAGAGTGGAGGAGCCTCGTTCTTCGCCATCCGTCACTTTTAAAGAATATGACCCTTCAATACCTCAAGTAAGTTATGCTTCAATAAGTTTTATGCATATAGCAATATTGAGGCTTAGAATATGTTTGATAAAACTAGTTGAGTGATTTTTGAGCTTATAACTTAGAGCTTAACTTATAGTTTATGACTTTTAGCTGAAAGACTAGCTGATGTAATCAAAGTGTTTGGTAAAATAAAAATTTCAACGAGCTTATTGAAAAGCTACCCAAAGAAGTTTATGAGATAAGCTCGAACTTTTTTAAAAAATTTGTCTTACCAAATGAAGCTTAACTAAATACAAAAAGTTTATAAGCCAATCATATAAGCTATAAGCTAGCTTATTTAGTTACAAAACACAGTCTTAGTTTTAGCGGGTCAATGAGTTTTTACGCATAATATATTTAGACACTAAACATTTAACTAATTCTGATGTACAGAGACATAACCACCACATTCCCGAGCTTCGTGTTTCATTCCCAAGTCGATGATACGTGAGATTTGGAAGGCAAGCTCGTTGTTGCTAAAACGATTATGGGTTCGTTCGTGGGTGTTGTGTTGATTTTTTTTTTTTTTATTTATTGGTAGAGTTTGAAATCTGGATTTATTATATATTTTTTTTTTTTTCCCTTCTTTGCTCTGTATGTGATTATATATTTGCTTCAAGTTATATTCGTTTTGTCATAAGACAAATGAAATTCGATTTGTTGTGATGAACTTCTTTGTTTGAACGTGTATGTGTTCGTCGATGTTGCTTTTCTAGGCTTTCTTTGTGGAAATAAAAGGTTGATTTGTTGCGTATTCCAGAAATCCTGTTTCAAAATTTTTATTTTTATTTTTTTGGAAATGACAGATATAACATAAAATTGGGATGCAAACGAGCTAAGTCGATTCGAGCTCAAAATCAACTCAAATTTTATTGGCTCCAATTTTGCTCGAGTTTGACTTGAATTTATATTAAAGTATTCGATTCGGATTAAGTTTTTTTTTTTTTTTTTTTTTTTTTNNNNTTTTTTCTTGATTTTAGCTGAGTTTGGCTGGAATCAAGGGCATTTAGATGAATCGTGAAGCTTATAACTTGCATACTCACTAATTTCTTTGTGGTCCAATTTCTTTTTCTGGTTGATTCACTAACTGCACATTTCAATGCCAATAAAATATTTCTGAAAAAGATATGTATGTCAATAAGTGAGACTGTCATTCAATTTTAATAACAATAAAAGATAGCTTGGATTTATTGCAATTGGATAAAAAAATTAAGTAAAATAAAATTGACCAGCCAATATTTATCTCAGTGAAGCATTTCATTTTATTAAAAAAGTAATTAACATTATTACTATTATCATATATTTTTGGATGAAAAATATTGGTCACTCTTTCACATTTTTTCATAAAAACTTTGAGACCTGGACTGACCCGATGGGTCGATCTGGGATCGGGAACGGTTTGGATGAGTTGTTTGGAGTTGGACCGAGTAGCAAGGGATCTTGTCAAACCCCTGTCGACTCGGCCGCCCCAGATATTGACATGGCCTGGTCAACTTGGTTTGATCCGGCTATTACATTATTTTTCTTAATTTTTATTTTTTAAAATGAAATTATACATATGTGATATATTTATGGTAAAATACAATATTATTAAGACTTTAGGAGTTTAGGGTATAAATTTACATATAAATAATTCATCTTTATTGCTTATGTATATTGTTATAAAGCAAAAATAATATAAATATAATTTTAAATTTTATAAAATTAATTACCCAACTCAGCAATTGACTCGATAACTTTGCGATTGTAACCCAGAGTCGAACCCGAGTCTATCATTGGTCCAAGTTTTAAAACTATCTCGTATATTCAATTATTTCAATATAACATCTATAAAATAAAGAGGGGTACACTTTACTGTATTAAACGAGATTTAAGTGTAATGTTGTGATTTTTTTTTCTTAAATAGATTAACTTCAAATATTATCATTTATATTATAGATTTTTGAAAAATTTTGACCGTCCTAACTACTTTGAATTAGCTTTATTCACAAGATGAACAATTGAACATGGAGAAAACTGTAAATACCCGAAAATTATGGTAGCAAACTGGAATTAATGGAAAGTACAGACACTAGTGCAACTGTAAACAATAAAGAATGTCCCATCTCAAACAAACGTGAAAAAGAAAAGAAAAACAACACATAAATTCCATTTTTCTAACACACGCACAGCCAAGCCCAGCTCATATCCAAATCCAAATCTAAACTTGGCACCAAAAGTTGTCTTCTTTACCAATTTTCTTGCACTGTTACTCTGTTATTGCTTGATCTTTTGTGTTTCAAAGCTGAGTAAAGATTCTGTCTTTCCTTTGTTTATTTTCTTTGATTTTTTTTTTTAATCTTTTTTTTTTTTTGTAATTCTTGATAATGTCCCTTTTGGGCCATCCTCATTTGGGTTGATTTTGTGGATCTTACTAGATTTTGATGTTTTTTTTACAGTTAATGTGAAGTAAAATTTTGCTTTATCTAGAGACGTCTGTACCCAAATCCACACTCTTTGTTTGGGATTATCTTTTTCGCCTCAATTTTAATTGGGTTTTCTTGATTTTAGAAAATAGCTTTATCTCATAGTTTTTGGGGGTTTTTCTACGATTTTCCCTTTGTGGGCTTGACCTATTCATGTTTTTTGGTGTGAAGATTTGGCCCTGAAAGCTGAATCCTGCAAAAAATTAAAAAAAAAGGTGTAAAAGATGAAGATGAAGCTCAGAAAGTCGGTGCTTTTCTTGCTGCTTGTGACAGTTTTTGCTCCTATTGTTCTCTACACTGGCACTCTTGAAGTCTACTTCACATCCTCTTCTTGTAATTAATATTTATTTTTCCTGTTCCTTTTTTTTTTTGGATTTTTAGTTGATTGATTGATTTATTTATTTATTTCTTGTTGATTTTTACAGCCAAGAACGAGTTTGTGGAAGATGTTTCAGCACTTGTAAGTATATCTCTGCTGGAAAAATGCAACACACACCGAATTTGTAATATTTAGTTTGTTTGTATTGAACTTTCGAATTCTCTGATTTTGCAGACTTTTGCTGGTGAAGTTAGGCCTCTGAATGTTCTGCCTCAGGTATAGGAATTCTTAGTCTACTTATTAGGTGTATGGTTTTTATGCACTTTCGGTGGATCCTTTTGTTCTTGGTTTAGGTTTCAGTTTTAATTGCTGTTTTCCTGATGTAAAACATAACAGGAGTCATCTACAACATTAAAAGAACCGTTTGGCATTGTTTATTCCGAAAATTCTATAGACTCGAATCCCAATGCTTCCGATGCATCGTCTGGCGAAAATACTCGCATTACTCGACAACTCACTGAAGGTTTCTATTTTTTTTTCATTATCTGTATTTGATTATGTATTTGATTACAAAGATTCCGAATCCAATTTTTTGGTTAATACTTGATATAACTCGTTGAATTAAAAATCAGAATCAGCAGAAGAAAGAGCCTCGAATTTGACCACATTGAGCGAAAATCACTCGTCAGACAAGAATCCCATTAGGCAGGTGATAGATGAGGTTCGTGGGGCTGAAGTTGAGCCGGGCGAAGAAAAAATTGCTAAACCTAAATCGAGCGAGAATATAGAAACTGAGGGTACATCAGAAAATGCCTCACAGAAAAAGGTAAGATTTTTGTTGTACTTTATTGTTTGTTCCTAGTTAGGATTTTTATTTTTATTTTATTTTTTGTAAAATTTCCTTGTTGTGATTGATGCATTGGGATGTGAACTTGTACATATGGAAATGATCAAAGTTAGCCGCTTTTTTGTATGGTTTTGCCATTGAACATCTGTCGTTTGATGTTGTGATTTTGTTAGATGTCATAAAATCTTAATTAATTAATTTAGCCATGAGATTGCGTGACAATATTTTCTTAATAGTTTCTAAAGATGTTCGAAATTAACCGGTTTTGTTCCATTTTCTTTAAGGAAATACCTGCGAAACACTCTTCCCGTATCTTTGGAAGAGATGCCTCCAAGGCTAGAACTAGAAAACAAAACGAGAGAGCTGTTTCGAGTCTTTCGACAGACGCTCGGGTTCACCAGCTCAAGGACCAACTCATTCAAGCAAAAGTTTACCTCTCCCTATCCTCGACTAGAAACAATCCCCAATTCATAAGGGAGCTCCGTTTGCGCGTGAAGGAAGTTCAAAAAGTTCTTGGAGAGGCCACCAAGGATTCCGAGCTGCCAAGAAAGTTAGTTTTATTACAAAAGACCCCTTGAAATCATCCATAATTACAAATACCTCGTTAATACCTGTTTTTTAACAGGGTACTTGCAAGTTGGAAGGATGATTGGGTTTTTTATTTTTTTTTCCGACAAATACATCAAACCTCAATCGTAGTTTCTGTAACTATAGTACTATACCCAGAGTTTCATCTTTCGAATAATGTGACATTTATTATGCCTAGAATTTTTCAAACACACATGTAACTGTGCATAACTCGATAGGTGCAAATTGATTTCTCTTTTCTAGTCTTTATCTTTTCTAGTAATGATCAAACTTGTGATTTTCATTTGTAGTGCTAACGATAAACTGAAAGCAATGGACCAAACTCTGTCCAAGGGGAGACAAATACAGGAAGATTGTGCTGCCGTGGTAAAGAAGCTTCGGGCAATGCTTCATTTGGCAGAAGATCAGCTTCGAGTCCACAGGAAGCAGACATTGTTTTTGACCCATTTGACCGCAAAGACTATTCCGAAAGGGCTTCACTGTCTTCCACTACGCCTCTCGGCTGAGTATTTCATGCTTAACTCGTCTCAGAGGAATTTTCCGAACCAGGAAAAATTAGAGGATCCCAAGCTGTATCACTACGCCTTGTTTTCGGATAATATATTGGCTGCGGCTGTTGTTGTGAACTCCACAATCACCCATGCAAAGGTAAAAAACAAAAAGGAAAAAAAAGGAAAAAATATTATTTGTTGCCTTTTAAGTAATATTTATGGTTATGCGAAAGAATATCACATGTTTAGCCTAGTTACCAAATACCTCAGAGGTTTTGCGAATTACTAGTAAGTAGTAACTCGTGGTGTTTGATTTTTTCATGCATTTATAATGGCGAAATGTAATATTTATGATTGGTAAGTTGTTTAACATTTCTTTGAATCTTTTCGAAGGGATAATAGGGGAATAATTATGTGTTTGTCTGAATATCCCAAAGCTCATGGAGTTCATAATTTTTTTTATATATATTAAAGAAAAACGATAGATTACGAAAACTTTTCCTGAGGTCTCACCTAATTGCCATAAAAGTCTTATCTTTCATAATTATAAAAACACCTCGTTCTTTAGTATTTACTTATCAGTTATCACTACTTCCCTACTGAGGGATGCAATTAATAAATATTGAAAGAAGTTCCGAGGGGCTTGTTCGTATTTAAAAAAACTCGGGGGGTTACGGGGTATTTTTCTACTAATGATAAAAATTCTTTAACTCCCCAAAAATTCTTAAATTTTGAAGCTTTTTTTTTTGTTTTTGTCACCACCAGGACCCCTCGAAACACGTCTTCCACATAGTAACCGACAGGCTAAACTACGCCGCCATGCGAATGTGGTTCTTATCAAATCCCCCAGGAAAAGCAACTGTAAATGTCCAAAACGTCGAGCATTTCACGTGGCTCAACTCGAGCTACAGCCCTGTCCTCAGGCAGCTCATTGC